ATAAAAATTGAATTTAGACTGCAATGAATATACCTCTGATACCTGAATATAGCTCATATTTGAGACACAGTTACAGCATGATTTTTTAAAATAAATCTTGTATGAATGATTAAATAAGCACAACACAATTAAATTCAGTAAATAAGCAAAGATTTTCTAGTTTTAAACTACAAATGTACCTGCTGATTGGCCATTGTATGGTACCACCAGAAGAGGCGTGTCGTCATGAAGTAGGCCACCACCACGTCTATGGTGTAGTGATCATGAGCCAACAGGATGCAGAAGATACCGACAGCACTCAGGCACCAGCAGATCCAGTGATACCACCAGAACCTACGTGGAGAATCTGTAAAAAATTCAATAAAAATTATGTATAATAGTTTCCCAGTGCAGGCAGACATACCAAACTCACAGATGTTATCATTGGTTTTAAGTATGTTTGTGTATTGTATAATATATTTTTAATGTATGTGTTACTGCCCATCATGTCCACTAGATGGTGATATCAAACAATCACAACAACATGTAGAGGCTAAAAATAAAATTTTTCCAAGCATATTTGGACATGATTGTTAATAAATAGGAGTACTCACACTCTTTAATAAAGAGGTATGTTAGTGTCAGCATCACTGTGTGTCCACTGTACAAGTAATCTCCACACAAAGAGTGTGAGCCAGTGATTGACAGGCCACCACCTGCCATCATTTTCATTACTCGCCGTGACTGTGCCTCCCAGTCACCGAAGAGCTGGAAGACGCACACAAGCACACACATATAATCATTTACAAGCACAAAAACATTTAAAGATAGACAGACAACCAGCATGTTGTTTTAATTTCTTCATTGCATTATTTTTATTACGTTATACTCTCTATCACAAACTTTGATTCAAAGTAATAGTTTAATCAAAAATAAATATTCTGCCTTCATTGTCTTTTCTAGAGTATGGTTAATGCAAATTTTCTTACGCTATGAAACCAGAAACCACAGTGATCAAAAAAACCATACTCTATTTACAAAACATAAAAGTGGTGCACATTACTTATATGCTTCACCAAGTGTTGCAAGCTTTGTGTGAAGAGAAGACCAGAATTATAGGTCATTAGCCACAGATAATTTCTGCTGCAGCTCTTAAACATCAGTTGTGCATGTGCATATTCAGAAGCATGAATGATATCTGAAACTGTGGCAGAGTGCAAGATTTTTTGATGTTTTCGTCTACCACCAAATGTCATTTGAGCACTTGACCCGATTTACACCTGTATTTAGCACTATTTGCTTCAGATAGTATGCCTATTTTAGACCAACATTAACTTGCATAAAAGTCTAGTTTCAGTGACAAGCTACAAGTATTCTCATCCTTCAAAAGTTACCTTTGGGGAGCACTTGAAGTGCATGCCTGGCACAGGTAATGTCGTAGCGTACATGGTCACGCATCTGTACAAATACAGAGTTCCCACAATAAAAAAGAACCGACGACCGATTATGGACCTGCAAACGGAGAGAAATCAGTCAAAAAATAGCCAGATCATAGAATAGGTCATAGTTTATGGATCGCAATGCTGAATAATGCATTCTGGACTGTTTATGAGTCACGACAGGAGATTATTTACATTTACATTTAGTCATTTAGCAGACGCTTTTATCCAAAGTGACTTACAAATGAGGACAATAAAAGCAGACAAAACTAACAAAAGAGCAACAATATATAAGTGCAAATGGCAAGTCTCGGTTAGCCTAACGCAGTACACGTAGCAAGGTGTGTATGTATGTATATATATATATATTATACACACACACACACACACACACACACACACACACACAAAGAAAAACAAGTAGATAGAATAGAA